CCGTGGGCCAGAACTAATTAGGCTAATTGCTGATCATTGTCCACACAAGTCACTGTAGGACAATGGCTCCATGCTAATATGGTTAATATACTAAGACTAGAGAGTTATATTATATTTACAATTAAAAATAATATTAGTGTATTATTCATCTTTAATATTATCATGATAATCTTACTTTTCAAAGTCTTTTAACACCTTCCATCTAATTTTGTCCTCACAACTGGAACAATTTTGTTAGGTAGATAAGGTATTGTCACACCTGTTTTGCAGATGAGGCAATTGAGGCATAGAGAGATGAAGAAATTTGCTCAAGATTTGTGGCAGAGCCAGGACTAGAATCCAGGTTTCCTGACTTCCAACTCTGTTCTCTTTTCACTAAACCATACTCCCATTCCCATAATATATATGTGCATATGTGTGTATCTATATCTTCACACATAATACATGTCACATTTTCTGACATGACATTAGTGGTGTTTGTCCTTTGTGCTTGAAGAGGACCAAAATGACATTACTATGTTGGAATCAAGGTACAGTGTGTCTGACAGTGGCTGATCAGACCAACACAAGCTCAGAATGCTCTACTACATGTCAGGCACAAATGGTCTGCAGGGAACATTCGAGTGGAGATGTCTCTAAATGTGCACATCTTATGTTACTTTCGAGCTACTGCAATTCTGCTTTGCTCATAGAGCGCAGCACCTTCTTTGATGAGAGCACACTATGCTGGGCAGTCCTTTGTCAGTATCTCCCATATCATGCAATCAATTCCAAAGTTCTTCAGAGAGACTCTTAAAGTGTCCTTGTATCACTTCTTACTACCATGTGAATGTCTTCCTTGTGTGAGTTCTCCATAACCAGTCTTTTAGGCAAAAGTACATTTGACATTTGAACAACAGAGCCAGCCCATCAGAGCTGTGCTCTCTGCAATAGAGTTTGAATGCTTGCAGGTTAGTTTAAGAAAGGACCTCAGTACCTTATCCTGCCATGTGATCTTCAGAATCTTCCTAAGACAATTCACATGAAAGCAATTCAGTTTCCTGGCATGACGCTGGTATGCTGTCCAGGTTTCACAGGCACACAACACTGAGGTCAGCAAACAGTTCTGTAGACTTTCAGTTTGGTAGGCACTCTAATACTCTTGTCTCTCCCATACTTTCCTTTGAAGCCTCCCAAACACTGAGCTAGCTCTGGCAATTCATGTGTCCATCTCATCATTTATGTGTACATCTCTGGAAAGCATACTGCCAAGGTAATTGAACTTACCCACAGTATTCAATATTTCTCCATTTGCTGTATCTGATGGTTCCACATATGGATGATGTGGTGCTGACTGGTGGAGAACCAGTGTTTTCTTGATGTTAATTATTAGGCCAAAATTAGCGCAAGTAGCAGAGAATCTATCCATACTTTGTTCTATCTCAGCTTCAGAGGCTGCACTGAGTGCACAATCATTTAAGAACTAAAAAAAACCATGCACCAATTCTCTCTCCTCTTTAGTCTTGATTTAGCTTTTTCTAGTTAAATAATTTACCATCAGTGTAGTAGCTGACCTTGATGCCTTTTCTTCCTTGTTGAAGGTGTCTGACAACATTGCTGAAAGCATCATGCTAAAAATCATGGAAGCAAGCATACAGCCTTACTTCCCTCCATTGGTGACTGGGAAAGCATGACAGCATTGTCCATCATCCAGAACTGGGGCAAATGTGCTGTCATGAAAGTGATATATGATACCAATGAATTTGGGGCAACCAAATTTTGCCACAATTTTCCATAAGCCCTCATGACTGACAGTATCAAAGGCCTTGGTCAGATCATGACATTAGTAGGCACTGAGTGAATTAAGAATAGAGCTGACTTCTGAGCCAAGAAAGATCTGGTACGTACTGGTTATGGAACCTTGAGACAGGCATTTAACACCCAATACTCTAGACAACTTTCAAAGACTATATAAGTTACAGGGAAGGTACCATCTTACATGAGGGAGTGTTCTCACTTGGGAGTTTCTTTTACTGTTGAAATCTCAGGTCCAGCCCCAATCTCATTGTTAGGCAATTTTTTTAAACTGGAAAATCTCATTAATAACAGGTGCTTCCAGTGTTACACCACCCTATCCATCACTTTCGTTATGGCTTTCATTAGAATGTGGCCCAAGTGTGAAAAATAATTATTTTTTATATATCTCTACCATCTCTTAAGGCTGAGTCAAAGACTCAGTAATCTAAGCCTATAGTGTGGATTCAAGTTGTATCATATAATTTAAAACCCCCAACAATGATCAATATCCATATGTGAGCTACTTTGATACCTTGAAAAATCCATTTTTTGCAACAGTAGGGTTACTCCTCCATGACTTTTATTTTACTTTTAAATTGTATTCAAACATTTATTTAAAATTTTATTTTAAAAATTTATTTAAAATTTAAATCACTTCATACCTTTTTAATCTGTGCCATTCTTATAAAACTTTTCCCATAGATTCTCTACTTAAGATCCCCTGTTGCACTAGAGGCCTTCTTTTCATTAAAAAAAAAATTTATTTGCAGGGAAAGGCATGTATGTATGTATGATGTAGTGCACAGAAAGATGTTTTCAGAGTCAAAAGCCCGGGTTCAAGTCCTACCCCCTACATATATAGGCTATGTGACTTATGGCTATCGATAAGCCACTCTACTCCTATATTGATAGAAGCAGTTTCCTCACTGGAAGTGAAATCTGAAGTATAAACAAACAAAAATATTCAGGAAGATCACTAGTACTACCAGTCTGTTGCCTCCCATTCTTACTACATGACCAGCCCAGAAAGGATTATTCCTTTTAGGTTATATGTTTTTGAAAATGTGTTTAATTCTACTCCTTGAATGCATGCTATTGATGGTAATGTATAGTAGCTTATTCATGCCCACTATGCATCTTCACATTACCTTTGGGTTATTGGTAATTTTGAATCTTTAGAGCCTATGATGTTCCACAATATGTAGACATGTAGGAGGAGACTGTTATAGAGTCATAACGTTTCAGAGTTTGAAATGCTCTGTGAAGTTCATCTATTCTAGTCCCTAATGAATGTTTGTTGTTGAACCAGTTTCTGACTAAGAATCTCCTCTCCAAAAAATGACTATTTGATCTTCACTTGAAGACCTCGTTAGGAGGAACCCACCACTTCCCATGGAAGCCTATTTTATTTTTGGATTGTTCTAATTATCAATGTTTCTGAATATTATTAATGATAACGCAATGGCCTTTTGCAGAAGTGAACCATTTGGGGGTCATTGAAAGGACTATACAGTTTTTCAACTACAATCTATCTTGATCTCCTCTGCAATTCTTGTTCATTGTTCATCTGCTATGCTCATACAAGTATATAGATACAGCTAGACCCATAAATCTCTCTCCTCTCTTCCCACTTTATCTCTCTCTGTCTCTGCCTCTCTTCATATATATGTATGTATGTATATAATTTATATATATGTATATACCACCTCTGGATGGGGGCAGCCTAACAATTAAGTTCTTATATAGGCATCCAGTTGCATGCCATAATTTGGGCATATTAATCTATTTTTTCCCTTCATAATGTCTGTGATAGTCTAATTTCATAGTATGAAGAATTTCACTTGGAGCCTTGATAACATTCCATACTCGGAGGCAGTGAGTACAATGTCATCTGTGAACAGGTGTACTTGGAGAACTTCAACATCAAAAGAATGCTTAAAAAAATACTTCACTTGATACCAATACTCAGCTGTAATGTGGAATATTTTCAATAGTCTTACCTTAGTCTCATGTAACCATGGACTAAAGAGTGCCTTAATGGCTGCATTTTATTCTGACAGAAGAATCAAGAAATGATTGACACAGTGGGAGCTTATAGTCTCTATATTTTTCATAGTGTGACTAGTGATATATTATCTGCTGCAGAAAATAGTGGATGAAGGTAAATTTGTGTGGCATTGGCAGAGAATTTTTATGTTGCTAGAGAGGGGGTCATGCTTTAAAACCTAACTTTAAATGTAAATGTATTGATTTTTAAAGCCTCCTATTCAAAGTACTATTATCTTCCCCTTTAAAACAAAATCCTGCAACCGTAATTTTTATGCCTTGAATATTCTTAAAGGCCATGACAGTTTATTGTCTCGATTTAAAAAAGTGTAAATAGTTCATAAACAAAGATGAATAGCCAAGAGATGCTGGAAAGCTTTGGACGCAGCGAAGTTCAATAGGAGAGTTGCAATGATGGGGCGGGGGTGGAGAATGGGGGGATAGAGGGAAGAGAGACAGACTGAGACAGAGACAGAGACAGAGACGGAGAGAGACTGACGACTGATTGACTGACTGACTGACTGATTGTGGTGGGGTAATTCTTCCTCACAGTGTTGGGCATTTAACTCTGTTGGCTCCATAAAGATTAAGGTTTAATTTACCAAGGGCGTCTTCCCCGGGAACACAAAGTATAGTTTAGTTCTAAAATCCAATCTCTCTCAACATATGAACCATCAGGCGGGGGCTGGGTGACGGAGAACGAAACATCAAGAAGCAACAGGAGTTGGTTTTTCACACAGGGCTCTTGACCCCTCGAGCAGGGGAGGAGAGTTTGGTGGTCGAGGTCGGGAGCAGCGTCCACTTCTCATCAGTTTCCTACTTAGCCGAGCCCCTCGACCTCCAGCATAGGATTTAGAGTCGGAAGGGACGCTCGGGATCCGAGCTTCCCTCACATCTCCCTTTTGTGTGCCTGCCACCCCATTACCCTTTGTTATCCATAGCCCCTCCCAGCAAAGAGGGGGAGTGTTGGGGACCAGACTAGGAGAATGACTTTATTTATTGTTTTTAGGGGGGCGTCCGGCAAGAAAGCCCAAGGACATCTTTCACAAACCGGAGTCCTCCACCCCCTTCACGCTCGGGCTTTCCCGAGGGGAAAGGGAGCACGAAGTAGGTGGGGGGACGTGGAGGGGCGTGGGGGGAATGAATTCATCCCCACACCCAGACGCCCCCCCGTTATTGGTTAGCGTCCTCTGATTGGCTGAGGTGGTCTGCATGTTGCGCTGGGATTGGGCAGCGGGGCTGTCCGGCGCGTGAGTGTGGGAGCTGGGGAGGGGGCGTTGGCAGCCTTTGAAGGTTTTTTGTGGGGGGAGGTGTCGGAAGGGGAGGAGGCCCAACGAGCCAGGCACCCTAAGCCTGGTCTGGCCGGGTCAGGTCTGACCGGAGGCTGTGTGGATGACCGGGGGGGTGGGGTCTGAAGTGGGGCGGAGCCTCGGAGAGGCTGCGGCCGCGGCCGAGAGAGGAGGGACGTGCCTGGTCACCGCCCCCTCCTCCTCTTCTCTACCCCCTCCTCCTGCAAGCTGCTAAAGGGGCCAGAGAGGCGGCAGCGGCAGCAGCGGCTGCAGTTCCATCCCAATCTTCCTCCTCCTCCTCCTCCTCCTCCTCTTCTTCGTCCGCCAACAAGGCTTCCTCCTCCTCCTCCTCCTCCTCCTCCTCGTCCTCCGCCTCACCTAGGGAGCGAGCGAGGGGGCAGACAGGAGGGCGGGCGGGCTGGGGAGAGGAGCCTTCGGCCATGGCTACTACCACCAGCACCACCGGCTCCACCCTGCTGCAGCCCCTCAGCAACGCGGTGCAGCTGCCCATAGACCAGGTATCCCTGCGGGGGTCGCGTTCCCCACGACCCTCCCTCTTGCCCCGCCCCCGCCCCGCCCTGCCGGTTCGAGGTGCTACTAAGGGAACGAAGTCGGGGCATCGGGTGGCATTTTAGTCTTCATCCTCCCTCCCCCAATTAATTGCACAGAAATCTGGGGTGGGGGTAGGTCAGAGGAACATTCTCCCCCCTCCACTATCTAGTGTGCTTCTCCACTGGAGCAAGGGAGAGGGCGATAAACCTGTTATTGTGCAATCACAACGATCCCCTCTGTGCCAGTCTCTCGTCTCCTGTCTCCCCAGCCCCCATCTCCATCCTCACCCCCCCACCCCGCCTTGGCTCGCGGGCGGGGGCCGGGGATGGGCAAGAGTGCCTGCTCCAAGCACGTTGTGGCGGCTATTTATAAGAGACGCGCGTGGATTTGGGGGGGAAGGTAGGGGTGGTGGTGATGATGATGATGATGATGGTGGAAACGTGTCTCCCTTCCCTGCTGTGGGGTCCCGGCAGGGTGCGCGCACCCCGAATGCCTAGCCTGTAGCTGCTTTCCTAGCGATGATGTGCCCAGGTCTGTGGGGGTGCTCGCGCACATCTGCCTCGTTCGCCCAGCTGTGCAGAGCGGAGCCTCCGGGCCATCCCCCCCCCCCCAACCCCTACACGGGTGCACCTGTACGGGTGCATTGGAGCTTCAGAGTGAAGCTGTCAAGTGAAGTGATTCCGGAGGACTGATGCATGTGTAGGTGTACCTGATATTATTGAGCCTTGTTACACTCTTTAAAAATACAGTTTTCACGTCCTACTGTGATATGCTAACAGGCATCAATTTTAGGAAAATTTTGGGGTAGGAGAAGTAAGGCAGAAAAGTGGAAGTCTGACTTCCCAGCAGAAAAAGCGTTTAATTTTTCCATCTAAACGGAAGGAACCTACAGAGGACTCTGATGTATACCTTGCATGGATAGAATTTACACGTATCCTGATTTTACCTAACGTGGCGAAGAAATATTGAGGAATAGACGGTTTCAGGAAAGCATCACTAATTCTATTCAGAAAAAAAAGTTTGAGTAGTGTTATTTATGAGAAGAGACTTTGGAGGTGTTGCTAATTGCAGATAGGTTAGAGAATTATTCCTATTTCAGATCTGAAGTAATTAATTTTTAATTCTAGCTTAATGTTATTACAAATGTTCCTTGATCTGGTAAAGCAACAGGGCTTTCTTAGATAAATATTACAGGGTGTTCATGAATTGACCTTGATCTTTCATGTGTTGCTTTCATTGGTGTCAGGAGGAATTTCACATATGGTAAGAAGGGGTTAGGAGATGACCCCTGTGTTTGAAGCTGCTTCTTGTGAGACTCTTGATCTCGTAGAGAATATGTCAGTGGGTTTGGCAAGGTTTTAAGGAATACTGAGCCCAGATAGGCAAAAAGTTAAAGCTTTTTTGAAATCTTCTGAGCATTTGTTTCATTAATTTGAGCTAAAAAAAGTTTTATTATTTGAAATCCAGTATTTGCTGGTGTTTAAGTTTAAACTGAACTTCAAATAGTTGAGTTGTTTTAATTAAAAGTAATGGAGTAAGTGCTTAAATTACACCAAATAGTTTTTGATTCCTAAAAAATAAATTTTAAATGAGGTGCCAACCTGCCAAACCTTCTGTAAAACATCAGCAATACTTAGCATTCTTATAAATTGAAATGTTTCCTAATATTAATCCTGGTACAGGAAAATGTTATTCACTGCTGTTGACCCAGGAGATAAAAATTGAATTTATAGGTAAAGAACAAGTCAGAACCCAGTCCAATGAAAGTTACTTTGTCTTTTTAAATCTTTTCTAACTTACGTTCTGTGGTTTCCAAATGGTGGAATATGACTTCGTGTCTCACATCTTTGACTTTGTTAAGTTGCTGCATCTACCAGCCAGAGTGGGGTGTGCAGCATGTAGTGTGTATCAAGAATTGCCATCATATCAGTGGAGCAGCCGACTGATAACTCTTGTTTTCTTAATCACAGCTATAGACAAGTTCCATGTTCGCCTGTTGTAATGGCAATGAGTGAGAAAATATCCTTTCCTTGCTATCTAATTTAACATTTGTATATGAATTTTAACTTTCACTGTTTTTGTTGTTTTTATTCTCTATAATAGACTTTTTTGGAACTCTGCTGTGTTGAAATCAGCAGGATAATCAAGGGGAAAAACAGGCTTAAAAAAAATTCAAATTCTTGACCATCTATCTGTAGGTGATTTCTAAACTCTATGACATTTGCCTTTCTCCCAGAACCTTTGACTTAATAAGTTAGAATCTTTTGTCTTTATTATAGATTTATTTAATCATGAATTTGGATTGTGGGAGAATTTAATTTTTTCCAGTTAGATATTGAGGGAGAATATAGGATAATCAGTGCATAAGATCTTTTTTAGAGTGGTTATAAAAATTGTTTCTTTGAATAGTAACCTAAACTAAGTATTAACTTAGCCTAAATATTAGCCGAGGGTTTAAAAAATTGATGCAGCTTTTTAAATAACTGACATTTCAGTGTTGTAAAAAATGTTCATTTTAATATTGAAAATACTGTTAATCATTATTTGAACATCATACACCCATATATATATGTATATATATAAATAATACACACACATAATTACATATATGTATACATGTTTACTTGAAAAGGAGCCTTTAACAAGGAAAAAAAGAATTTATTATCACACTGAAAACAGTGAGTTAGTTATAACCAAAATGGTGTGAATCGGTATAGGATAAACTGGGAAATGAAAGGTGTTAAAATATTACCTGTTAGTGTGTGTTAATTTTGTGTCAATTTTACTATACAAACTTAATAAATTATAAAATACATTGAAGGTACAAAGAAGCAAAGGCACATCAAGAAAAGAAAAATAACTTTTCATGGCATTAATGAAAAATATAGAATGAATTAGGATTGAAGTAACATAAGAAAATAAAGAAGGTTGCAGAATCAAAGTTGCACAATATGAAAAACAGAAAATTTGAAAGAAAATGTTTTATTTAAGAATGAAGATGATGAAGTTGACAAGTCTTACTTGGATTGATTTATGAATTTTATTAATATGAGTTCCAGTGTTGTAATTCCATCTTCAAACTATCATCTTGGACAGCCCCTGTTTGTATATTTCCTTAAATTCACTAGACAGGGTGTTTACCCAGTTTATTTCACTAATTTATTCTTACCAAGCAGGAGAGGCAATGTGGGGATATAGGGTAGTGGATAGAGCCTTGGCCTCAGAACCCCACCTCTAACAAGTACTGGCTGTGTGACTCTGGGCCAGTCACTTAAGTGTTCTAGGTAATTCTATTAAGACAGCAAATTGCTGAAAAGATGCCGACCGGCGTTGGGGGAGATACTTTGCACATCTGGGAGTTCCTTATACGAAAGACATCTCAGTCCAGGCCCTAACTCTGCTCACAACAATAAGATCTTGTTTAGGTGAATCATTTACCCTGTGGTATCTAGCAGAAAAGCAACTGCCATCTTTCTTTAGTGGCCTTAAAGTTTAAATAAAAACAAATATGCGGATGAAGTGTATGAGGCTTAAAACATGCACAGGATTCAGCATCCTATATTGCTTTCTCCAGACCTTGTACTGTGAATTTATTTCCAGAACTATCGGTAGTGGATGGATATTGATAAAAAAAGGTTCACAGAGAAAATTTTAAGGGTAAATTTGAAATAGAAGCAGTTCTACAAAAAGGACAGGATGAATGTGCATTCTGAAAGGCAATCAGCTTATGTCTTTGACCATTAACATAAGTGTATTTTAAAGGCGGTCAGAGGACAAAATGAATGCAAAAATGAGATGAATAATAACAGAGTATAGATATTCCTCGATGAGCCTATTTTTTGGAGTGCTTTTAACTACTAAATTTTTAGAGGGTGGTAACTTGCTTGTAACTTATCTATCCTTATAACTATCTGAAAAATTTCTAAAGGGAGGGGTTCACCTTTCCATGCTTTTGTTTTTCAGTCATTTTTTTTCTTTTTAAGAACCACTGGTGTTAGTGCTGTCACAATTGAGTAGATATCTCTGTAGTCTGATATTTAACATGGCACGTTTGGCAAAAAACCAGTGAGGAATGGTTCAAGTGAGAGTATGGGGTCACTTGTTTTGGGGAGACCATGCTAACTCCTTGTTTTTGTGTGTTTGAGTAGGTATTATTTGATAAAGGAAGATAATACTTAAAGAGAAGGAAATGAATCCATTAAATTTTTTCCTTTACATTGATTCCACTTCTTTCTGTAACTTTTTCATATATTTTATATTCACTTTATTTTAAATAATTAAACCACTCTTACTGTCAATTGCTTTTACTTCCTGGTTATAAACTGCATTTTCTATAATTTTTGGAGTTTGTAATGTATTTTTTTTTGAAAAAAAAATGCTTCAGTCTGTACTCAGTTTATCAGTTTTCTCTGTAGGTGGATAGCATTTTACAGAATAAGTCCTTTGGAATTGTCATAAGTATTTGTATTGATCAAAGTAGCTAAGTCTTTCACAGTTGATCCTTATTACAATATTACTGTTATTGTGTGCAATGTTCTCCTAGTTCCACTCACTTCACTTTGCATTAGTTTATACAAATCTTCCCAGGTTTTTATAAAACCGTCCTCTTAATCTTTTCTAACAACACGGTGGTATTTTTTCATAATCTTATACTACAACTTGTTCAGCCATTCCCCAATTGATGAGCGTCCCCTCAATTTCCAATTCTTTGCCACCACAAGAAGAGCTGCTATAAATATTTTTGTACACATAAATCCTCTGCTTTTTTTCTTTGATTTCTTTAGTATACTGACCTAGTAATGACTTTGCTGGGTCAAAGGGTATGCATAGTTTTATAGCTGTTTGGGCATAATTCCAAATTGTTTTTCAGAATGGTAGGACCAGATTACAGCTCTACCAGTAGTGCATTAGTGTGCTTATTTTCCATATCCTCTCCAGTATTTATTTTCTTTTTATGTTATGTTAA